CGCATTGTATTAATACAGAACACATCAGTGCAACGTGAGCCAGTAGATACTGATACCGAAATACTCCCTCCCAGGAGTGTCCTGTTTGAAAGCTCAGATATGGTAACCCTCCATACAGCTGACTCCAGCAAAGAAGCTCATAAAAATGTAAGTATAACGAGTATGCAGAGCTGCAGCTGTCAATTGGTGGGGTCCAACTGGCACAATTTACACCTGCCGAAAACCTGACCCCCTAGATGTAATGTTGGCTGCTCATTGCTTCCCGCAGGTTATAACAGAGGCCATCGGGGTGCCATGGTTCTAAGAAGAGAAGAGTGGCCAGATTGGGCCAGGCTAAAGGTCCATTCAGCCCAGTATCCTGTCATCTGACAGTGGCCAGTGCCAGATGCCTCAGTGGGAGTGAACAGAACAGGGAATTATCAAATAAGCCCTCTCCTGTCTCCCATTCCCAGCCTCTGACAGAGGCTAGGGACACCATTCCTACGCATCTTGGCTAATAGCCATCGATAGACCTAACCTCCATGAATCTATCTAGCTCTTTTTTGAACCCTGTTAAAGTCCTGCTCTTCACAACATCCTCTGGCAAGGAGTTCCACGGGTTGACTATGCACCGAGTGAAGAAAAACTTCCTTTTGATTGTTTGAAACCTGCTGCCTGTTAGTTTCATTAGGTGACTCATCCCTATAACATAAGAACAACAAGTAAATATCTTTTCCTTATTCACTTTCTCCACACCAGTCATGATTTTATAGACCTCTATCTTATCCCCCCTTAGTCTCCTCTCTTCTATGGTGAAAAGTCCCACACAATCTCTCTTCATATGGGACCCGTTCCAAACCCCTCATGTTTGTTGCCCTTTTCTGAACCTTTTCCAATGCCAAGAGATCTTTTTTGAGAGGAGGTGACCACATCTGTACGCAGGATTCAAGATGTGGGCATTCCATGGCGCAGTACAAACAAATTGAAATGGACCGGCCCTGCCCCAAAGAGACAAATAAGCATGGGGGTGAGAGGGAAGACAAGGAAACCCATCCACTAGCATAAGGGCAGTCCCTGGCTGATGAGGAGCAGAGAACGCCACTCCCTTGCTGAGATGGTCCAGCTTGCCGTACCCTGCACCCATTATCGCAGAAGAGAGTCTGGAGGAGTGTAACGGGGTGTGCCTGCTTGTGAGCATCCGAGAGGTGTCTGGGAAGCTCTCTTCCTGGCCATCTGTGGCAGAGGAAATATCAGTATGTGGCCTGGAACCAGGCTTCTTCTTGTCCCCTTGCTGTGGCTGCTGGGGGAGAGGGGCAGGCCTGCCCACTCTTCTGGGTCCCAGCCCAGGGACCCTACAAGAAGCAGGTGCCTGCTACGATTATCCATTGTCTTCTACTTCCTTGTTCCCTGGGCCACTTCCCAAGGACGCTGCTCTGTCTGGTCATCTCAGGGCTCTGAGGCTGGGTTCTCAATAGACCCTGTCCAGGGGGCTATCCACTCTTCTAGTTGCTTATGACTAGTCTTCCGCCACTGGACATGGGCCTCACCCAGGCCTAAAGTTCCTCTTGCACTCGGAGCTGTCCGCGGTGCTGCTGTTCTCCTGGTCAGTGCATAGATCTGTCTGGGTCGAGTGCCTGTGAGGAACTGCCAGGCCCTAACCCACAGCTTCTTTTATACGGGTCTGCTGGGCCCTGATTGGCTACCTCTGCAGCAGCCACTCTGTCCTGCCTGGAGGACCTCTCTTCTGCTCCTCTCACTGGGGTGGGGTGTGGCAAGGCCTTCAGCGTCCTGTAGGGAGTGTCGGGGCTTAGTCTACCCCATGACAAGGAGACACTTGAAAGAGGAGAGGTTGGTGGCTTTTGACTGGGAGCTTTTCTCCCTCCCTGGCTGCCCCTTGGAAGTAGGGAAGTGCTTGCTGGAGACCTGGCTGGCCAGGCCACGCAGCGTGTTGCGTGGGCTGCAGGAAGGCAGAAGTTTGGAGACCTTTTGGAATCGGTTTCCCATCTGCTGCCCCTCTCTGACAACAGCCTGTCGCACCGCGCTTCCCCGGAAGGGTTACCATCACCAGGCGGCAGTGGCAGCTGCAGCAAACCTCAAGCCGGGAGCATCCTACAGACGCGGCTGGGACCAATAACCGGTGGGCGTGGAGAGGACTCAGCCAGCCAAACCTGACACTGCAGGCGCCAGGGGAGGAAATCTGTGGTCTGCTCTCACGCTGCCAGTCTCAGAGACAGTCCCAGGGTGGGCCCAGGGTAAGCGGCCCGTTGCCCTTACCCCCGGCACAGCCTGGCTCCTGCTCCAGCAAACACGGTCACGCTAGCGACCTTGTGAGCTCCTCTTTTAGTGCCGCTTCATTTGGAACTGCGAGGCAGCCTGCCCACATCCCGCAAGGGCAGGGGACTGATTCGGTGCCATGGCCATTCTGCCATTGACTTCAACCAGGCCGAGGATCGGGCCCTTGGAGTGCTTTAAAGAGCGATGTCAGCAGACAGAGCTGCCGGCACGTTGGGGTTCTGGGATGATTACCACTGGCTCACCTGGCACTCCTCAGACAATCTGGCCAGGGTACAAGCCGGGTCAGGCATAGGTCTGCCTGCGACGGAGTAGGAATGGAAGTGTGGGAGTGTGTGTGTCAGTTCAAATGTCCATGGTGTCGGTAGCCCTGGTCTACACTAGGGCTTTAGTTCCAAATAACCCCCTGTGGCAGGCCACTTCCGCCTGGCCCTCCCGCAGGACCTCTTAAGTCCAAGGGGCCCCTGTGGCGGGCCACTCCCGCCTGGCCCTCCCACAGGACCTCTTAAGTCCAAGGCCCTCTGGCCGGAGTCCAAAACACAGTTCAGGGTTGTAGCGGGGACGCACCCCAGGTAGGGGGACCTGGGCCCACCCTACTCCACCGGGTCCCAGCCCAGGGCCCTGTGAGCGACCGGGTAGCGTGTCCCTCCCTCAGCAGGGCAAATCGGCCGAAACGCGCTGAGATTCTCTGGGCTCCCGTCCCTGCCATGGGCCACTTCCTACCTGGTTCACTGAGGTTCCTTCCCATGTACTCGTGCTAATTTCAAAATAGTTTCCTAGTGTGGACGTGGCCTAAGACGTAGGAGCAGCGGAGGGGGTGGACAGTGCAACCACTGAGACAGGGCTGCCTTGGAGAGCTCTCCTGGCTCTGGGAGGGAGTCTCAGCCCTCAGGCCGGGTCCCCCAGGGCACGTTCTAGCGTGCTAGGCTCTAGGATCTTCCGCACACTGGCTCCCTTTGAGGACCTCGCCACCAGCCACCCTTAGCTCAGGGCCTCCCACAGGCGTAGGAGTAATGGGATCCCGAGACCACCTCCCAGCGAGGAGGCAGCAGCTACCCCCACCTTCCTCGTCTGGGCACGGCCACCCTCCCAGGCTGGGTAAAGGCAGGCGGGAAGGTCTGGGGGGCCCTTACTGCAAGGAAGGAAAGAGCAGGACATTCTCGGCCTGCGGGTGGCACGAAGAAAGCAGCCAGCAGCAAGCCTCGGGCAGGCTTGGCAAGGCCGGGCATAGCGGCAGTGGCGGGCAGTGCCCCAACACCAGCCAGGGAGAAATGTCTTGCTCTGTGTTGGGGCAGAAATGCAAGATCACAGGGGGCAGGCAGGTGTCTGCCGAGAGTGCTGGGCCGGGCCTGCAGGAGGCTGTCCCCAGGGTCCCAGCCTGGGGGCGGAGGCTCCGTCCCAGAGCAGCGAAGAGAAAGCCCAGAGCCCAGAAAGGGGCTAAGAGAACTCCAGGGAAGTGCTCGGTATGGACACAAGGGGAGGAGCTTGCCCATGGAACCAGGCCCCAGCGCGTCGGCTGTCTGCTCCTTTGGGACCATTAGCTGGCCTTGTGAATCTCTGGAAGGGGTTACGTTTGTGTGGTATGGAGAGCCAAGGCGAGACAACTCAGGGAAGGAGACTTTAGCAGCAAGGGCCTGCAGTGCCATGTGCAACCACCTGGGGGCGCTATGGGGCAGCCACACCCCTGTGATACGCCCCATAATAATCCTGCCCTGTGGGCACCCTCTGACCTGTAGCAAGGAAAACACCGGGAGGGGGGCAGGGGATGGCTGGAGGATCTAGGGTCGCCAGATGGTTTAACCAAAAATACCAAACGCCTGCCCTCCCATAAAAAAAACACCGGGGAAAAAATTCTGTTGACAAAGAAAAGAGGGAGAGCAAAGTTGTTGTGAAAAAATAATAATAATAAAAAAGACCCTGAGTGCTATTAAGCAAAAAATATATTAAAAAATAAAAAATAAAAAACAGCATGGCCCCTTTAAGAGGCTTTTTGGACCTAAGAGGCTGCTGGCGGCCATCTTGTCTCCCTGCTCCGGACCAGACAGCTCCCCTGCAGAACCAGGTATGCGGGGGGGGGAGAGGGGGCAGCTGGGCCCGGTTGCTGAGTGTGTGTCGGGTTGCCAGATGCCCGATATTGGCCTGGATAGTCTGGTATTTTCACCTCCTGGCAAGGAAAAAAAATCAGAAAATCCCAGGCATTTTAGGACATTTGAGGTGTCCGGTATTTTCTGAATTTTTTTACCGGACAAGAGGCGAAAATGCCAGACTGTCCAGGCAACCCTAGGAGGATCTGCCAGCTGCTATGTGGATCTGCCCTTCCTCCCTGTGAACAAGAAATGCTGGTGCAGAGAAGAGCCACTGGCATTTTGCAGAAGGGGTTGGACTCCTTCCCCTTGCTGGGTGGCTCTCTCCATGCCTGGTCCTGCTACTTGGGCTGGGCCCTAGAGAGCAGACCCTCCCCGTAACCAAGCACAACGTCATTCCCATACACGAGCGGAGCTTAGGCCCTCAAGCAGGCCCACTGAATTTTTCCGCTTACTTGCGTGGCCTTGGCTAGTCTCTTCCAGCGCCAGGGAAGCATTCTCTCAGCTATCTGTCATTTCAGGTCCTTGCTTTTCTTCCACGCCGACCTCCTACACGTAAACTTCATTTTGCTCATTTGAAATCTGCAGCCTCTCCATCAATTTCCTTGGGAATTAATTACCAGGTTTTTTAAAAAAACAAAACAGTGAATCACATAACAAGATACTTGGGATTGTTTTTCTACTTAGTTATAAATGAAAAGAAAAAGAAACCCGCTTTCGGTATATTGACAGCAGCTGCAGTAGAAGTTCCCAAGGCCAGAAATGTTTTGTTTGGATTTTTTTAAAGTCTGCTTTCCCCCATATCCCTACCGACACATGTTGCATGCTTATCAACTGGAAACATCCCTTGCAGCCATCTGCATCGCATGCTTTGTTATTATAAGTTATAGTAGAAGACAAAAGGAGCAAGACACTGTGACCAGAAGGCAAACATTAAGACTGCTAATTTGTTAGGGGTGACATTTCTGATAATGCTGCTATATTAGAGCTACTATTCCATGATGTCATTTCACATAATATTATATCGCTGGGCTTAATAAGACAGAGAGAAAGAGACAGAGGGGAAAGAGAGACATCAACAGATCTATTATAAAAACAAAGGAAGGCATTAGGACATTTCTTTGCCTGAGTTGTATATTGACTTCTGGTCAGCGTCTCAAAAGAGTTTCATTAAATTTATGTCATCAGAAATATAACATATGGACTTTCCATGCAGGAGCTCGTAACAGCAAGAGTAACACAATTGTTTTCCCCATTCTATGATTTATCATCCATTCCATTCTCTGCTACAGGGGCTGTCATTTTTCTTCAAATGTGTTTGAAAAAAGATCTCTTGTTCGACTCAGTCAGGTGTTGTTATTCACCGACATGAGACCCGCGCTAGTACAGACACCAGCTGCAGCCATCGAGCGGGCCTGGAAACGTTGGGTTTTTCTCCCGGCACAGGCGCTGCTCGTTCCGACGCCGCAGCCAAGGGAAGGGGCTCGGAAAAACACAAGCAGCCCTTCTCCCTCGCCTGCTATGACACACCTGGGCATGCCTGGGGCCTCGCTGAAGAGGTTGCCTGTTGTGGCACTCACGCCCCAGCTGTTAATTCAAGGCAGGGCAGCACAGAAGAGGAAGTGACGTAGGATCCGCAGGAGCCTCGCTCCTCTCACCGAGCTTGTGGTCAATGCCTTGTCTTCCCAGGGCAACTCCGCTGTAACGGCCAGTGGTTCTTTGCCGGTTCTCTAATTTCACTAAGGCTGTGGTTCTCGACTGGCGGTCCATGGTGACTTTTTCGGTGGTCCTCAGGAACATTGTCCAAAGTCACACGGCGTGGGCAGGCACCAAAAATCTGTTAGTAAGAAATAAATTTCAAACCAAAATGTTCATTGTCTGCTTTTTTTTCTCATGTCTCAAAAAGGAGGTGGTTCACAACAATTTTTTGATTGGCCTGGTGGTCCGTGGACTGAAACGAGTCGAGAACCACTGCTAAGGGGTGGCACCCAGCCACAGCAAAGTTCCCCTTGGCTTCTATGGTGCCAGGATTCATGCCCACTGACCTAGCTACTATGTACGGCTCCGATCCTGGGAGATGACACCGATGGCACCCACCAAAGGCATAAGCAGCCACGTGTACTATCAGAGCCTCTCTGTTCACAGTCCCTTGGCATTCCCGTACCTGCAATTATTAGTGGCTATCTCTACACACCATTTGCCTCCCTTTGTAACGGTGCAAACGTCTTTTGCTGATGATTTCTTCGCTGAAGGTGGATTTCAGGACTTCAGCGTCTCAGCCAATTTCAAGCCCTCGTTAGCACCACCCCTCATTAATAAATGGCCTACTTTCTCGCCAGTTCTTCTATTCCCCCGATATGTTTGTAACAGTCTGTGCTATTCCCCCTAGCTCTCTGTCGAGTATTAACTCTCTCTGCTGTTCTGCAGCCTCCTTCAGTCCCTGCCAGCATTAGCTGCCTGTGTGCTCATTTGGCTGCCTGCTTCCTTTTCACATGTCTGTGCCGGGTATTTTTAACCTCAGGCCTTTGATCAGGAGGCCACGCTGCCTGCAGCTTGTGGCTTCCAAAGAGGCAAAACCCATTGCCACTCCATTGTGATACCCTTTACGGTTTCCCAGGGTTCTCCTCTGGTCATTTCATGATGCTTCTCATGGCACACACGGAGCCCCCTCTCTCTGCCCAACGAGCTTACGGACTAAGCAGCCAACTCACAGGCCCGATTTCTTTAGAGCAGTGTTTCTTAAACTGTGTTCCGTGGCACACCGGTGTGCCACGGAGAACAACAGAGTTCAAAATGGCCACCCTTAAAGGGACAGGTGACTTTTTTTTTGCTTAACAAAAAATCTTTGGTGTCCCTCAGGAAAAAAAAATATTGTTTGGTGTTCCTCAGTCTTAAAAAGTTTAAGAAACACTGCTTTAGAGGCAGGAAAGGAAGGTACAGAGCGAGAGAGAGTTACTTGTCCGGGGTCACACCTGGAGACTCCGGCGTCCAGATCAGCGCCTTACCCACAAGGCTCCCCCTTCTCCCTAATCAAACTAAAACGCCTCAGGACTCCATCCAGATGTTTGCGTGGATAAGGGGAGCTGCCTGTGTCTTTAACCAGAGCCTTGAAAGGTGTCTTTGCTGCAATCGAATCTCCTCACGCTGCTCGATCCTGGAAGCCCCTCACTGACAAGCCTAAAGGGAAGCAGCGTGAAAGCCGGTTTCGAAAGCCCATGCTGCAAGAGCTCACACACGAGGACAAATGTCATGGTTTCCACCTCGGACAATATCGGATTACCTCTGCAGAGGTAAACAGCCAGACCTGGGGCATTCCTATTGTCGGGATACAAACTCTGCAGGCTGCTCCGTTGTCAAAAAGCTCACAGAGATTTCTTGTGCTGTAGAGGGCGGCTCTTCATCTTCTTGAATCTGTGACCCAGCAGAAATTACTGTCAACTATCTGACCAATCGAGGGGTATTGATTCACCTGTTACTATGGCAACCCATTAGTTCTTAGATCTGTCTCTCTCAAGCACTGCCTAATCTGCCTCGGCTAGGTCTAGCATTTTGACACTGTCTCGTTCTGATCCTTAATTAGTTTATTTGATGTGGCCTGCACATTTTATGTTTATACAAAGCAGATATTGAAAATACAGGCCTAGTGAGCAGAGATCAGAGGAGCACAATCAGTATGTTGTCAGCTAAACCGGCTATTACAAGGGAGAAAGAAAACAAACACCTTGTAAAAAACACAGTAAACTCCTAAAGCGGTGTGAAAAAAATATAAACTGACAGTATGGCCATCTGTCACCCAACACGGCGCCCCTGAGATTTGATCGGTTTTGTACCTACTTTGTCCAGGTGATCCATCAAATAACACACAGCTTCCACTGCAGGCTCTGAGCAATTCTATTCGATACTTAGCTTCTTGAAGATTCACTCTGTCTGAAGGCAGAAACAGTCCTTCAATGCTAACCAGAGACCCTTCTCTGTGACTTACCTTCCTTCTGGAAGGACAGGTCTTTACATTTGAAAGAATGAGATAAGGGGAGGCAGATCAAGGTCCCAACCAAAACAGAACGCACAGGTGTGGAATGTGGACATGGTTCTCTTCTTTGCCGCAAACTGAACCAAAACTCTAGATCAAAAAGTTCATTCTGCTCATTTGTCAATTTCTTCTTCCCAACTCTGTGCTTTTCCCCCATGCAGTCCATGAGAGCTGCCACTTAGAGACCTGCAGGAGACAGGAAGATAGGAGAAGATTTTAGTATCATAGTATTCAGTTACATTGTCTGTCCTGGCATAATTCTGTGTCTCGGCACGACATCTGTCTGCTAGCATTTGGCATGTTTCCTGCTTTGATCTTCTCATCCCCACAGTGTACAGCAAGGTGGGGAAAGAAAAACCTCACCCTAGAGTAAAATATTCATTCTAACCCTTTAAACAACAGCTGCTTTTTTGGTTTACTGTAAAAAACTGGTAGATGCATAATCCACACTAAAGTCTCTGCAGATGTAATGGACCAATTCTACACTGAGGGTGTGTCTAGACTACAGGGTTTTGTCGACAAAAGTGGACTTTTGTCGACAAAACTATACCTGCGTCCACACTGCCTTTGAGTTATGTCGACATAACGTCGACAAAACTCAGCAGTTTTGTCAACATATGTAAACCTCATTCTACGAGGAATAACGCCTTTTGTTGACAGAGTTCTGTCGATAGAAGGCATTATTGCATCTACACTGTCCTTTGCGTCCACACTGTTATGTCAACAATGCGGCTTGCTTTGTCGACAGAACTGGCTGCTGTCTAGATGCTCTTTGACAAAAACTTCTGTTGACAAAACCCTGTAGTCTAGACATACCCTAAGGGTACATCTACATTGCAAGAGATCTTCCGGAATAGCTTATTTCAAAATAGAGAATCCACACTACAGGGAAGCCTCAAAATGAGTCCGAGGCAGGCTCCCCTAATGTGGATGCGCTATTTCGATTTAGAGCCCCAGGAGGCACTGGGGAGGAATAACTTAGAACGGCGCTGGGGAGGGGCTATTTCAAAATAGCAGCAGTGGAGCGTCCATACACAGCTTCTTCCGAAAGAGCTTGGAATGAGGTTTACCAACGTTGGAAAAAGCCCTCCATTATTTCGATTTTCTTTCTGAAGGATAAACTTAATTTGTTGTCAGTATGACCTCTGTGTGACCTGGATGTTAAGTCTGGTCTTTCTAAAGAGGTCCGTGCTTGAATGCAGGTATACAAAAGGAGGGGGTAGGTGGAACTGGTTTGAACCTGTTGTAAGAGCTGCAAAGGGACTGTGAGGGGACAAATAATGATTGGAGGGAATTTGGTGCAAAGGGGTGTGACCTGTATATGCATGCAATTGTAAGGGGTCAGTGAAAAAGGGGTAATTACCATGTAAGGTAGTACAAAGACCTTGCCTTTTGTTTGGACAATTGCAGAAACTGTTCCTGAGTATCCTGGCAATTTTTGCCCTGGAATGCATTCCTGAATAAAGCTGGTTGCTTAAGAAGGGTGTCTGGAATTGATTTGGTAGGGGTTTTGGGCCCCCATCCGAACCCTCGGATTAAATTCTCCGTCATTTCAAAATAACACAATTGCTGAATGGACGCTAGTATTGTTTTTCTGGAATAACAGCTCATATTCCAGAAAAACGGAGCAGTGTAGAGGCACCCTAAAGTTATTTTGGTGCAAATCTCAACCAGTTTGTGCAACCAATCAGTGAACTGCAGCTTTACACTGCTGTATAGGAGCTAAGAGCACAATACAGCCATATAGGATCAAAAAAAGTGCAAAGAAAGTGGTCATTATTCACACGGTTCTGGTATATTTTGAAATGAAGCATCACAGTAAAATTACTGATAGAACTAGACTTTTAATATCATCACCCTAAATTACTGGGTACTTTCGCTATATACTGATAAAGGAAAGTTAGGAAAAGATAATATTTTGGAGGTTTTTAATATTTTCATACGTTGGAGCTGAAAACTGTAATGCTGAAATTTTGGCTAATGATTCAGCAATTCCAAATGAAAAATTCCCAGAGGTCTCACAGAGTATAACCACTCCCTCCAAAAAACTAAGCCAAACCAGCTTCCACCAGCCCTGCTGGCAAACACGGAGCCACAATAAACTCTAGTCATCTGTCATTCTTTTTCCACCAGGCAGGCAATCTGACCCTAAAAATCTGATCACATTAGATAACATTAATTTGCCCCTCTGCATTCACTGCAGGTAGCGTCTGCTGATGACACTGCTGCCCATTAAGTAACTGAGAAATGCGATCAGCAATGTTTGTCCACTAAGAAATTTATCCTGAAGCGCATTTCATGCTGATTATTAACTCCGCTGCACTCGTGAATTGAATTTCTCCAAAGCTGGAAGTTAAAACAACATGATATAAACCAGAGACAACCAGTCTTGCCCACAAACTAGACAAAAGCCCTTAAAGGCCAGAATAAGAATGAAAATTAATAATGAATTATTTAATGTATGCATCATAATAGTTCTGCTTTATTCCATCCCACTTCACATTGCCTTCGGTCCTCTTAAGTTATTACGAAATGGAACTAAAAATTCGGTATGGATTCCATGCCTTTCTGCTTTCTCACTTCAGCATTGAAAACAGGCAAGCAGCTTCATTAAGAAAGAACTGAATACCATTATACCTTCCAGCTTTGGAGGAAGGACAGTTGTTATGGGTTTGCCATGGGGAAATTCCAGCACATGGAGAATTTGCATTCTGGGAAGTGAGGCTCTTAATTGCTGGAGACAGTTTTGTAAGGTGCTATAAAACTGGAGATGGGGAGTTAAGACACGGAAGGACTGAGACTCCACTGATTACAGGTTACATTACTAACCCGGGGATGATGGAGTGATGTTGTCACGTTGCTGGAACTTGAGGGGAGCAGCCAGATCCCTGATGCACACATAGGTGGGGGTGTTGGCCCCAAAAATGGTATAGGAGGGGGCCATGTGAGGTATTGAATAGAAGCTTATTATCTGATAATCCTATGTACGCTGTTCTGGTGTTTGTATAATGTCTGTGTATGCAATTATTAGCATGTACTTGTGTGGACACTGAAGATTTCCCTGCATGTGGTTAAGCATTGGGCAGGGCCGAGCCTGTGGACATGCTAATTACCGAGGCCCTGTGGAACAATGGTTCTCAATGGGCTATGGACACACCTAAAGAATGGGGGCTGTCACCTGAGAGCAGCCAGCAGGGAACACAGAGATTGGCCTCTGGCCAGGTGACCAGCTATATACTAGAAGAGGCCAGGAAGGAGGTATAAAGAGGCCATGCGGTCGACGCCATTTTGTTCTCAGCTCAGCACTTCATCCCAGAGGCAGCACTGCAGGGATCGAAGAGTCCGGAAGACCTATGAACCCATCCTGATGATAGGATGTGCAACAAGGACTTTTAAACCAGCAGCTGTAACATCTCTGCTAGAGCCTGCATCAAGGACTGGGAGATTTGGTGCATGTAACATACTAATCTTTAACAATCTTACTCTCATGCTTTTCTGTCTTGTGATAATAAATCTTTAGATATAGATTCTAAAGGATTGGCCCAGCGTGATTTGTGGGTAAGATCCAGAGGGTAAATTGACCAGGGATCTGTGGCTGGTTTCTTGGAACTGGACAGGACTTGTTCGGGGTAGGTGGGATTGGGTGCTAGGACCCCCCACCTGTGTATGAGGCCCGGGGCCATCTGGGGCACGGATATTGCTGGGGTGTCGGAGGGGTTTTGTTCGTGAGGCTTCAGGCAGGCTGCTGAAGCGCTCTGAGACTGGTTTGTGGCCTGTTTGGAGAGATCACCAGTCTGGGGGCTGTAAGGAGCCCCGGATTTGAGCAATTCGCCCTGAGCGGACACCCTCAGCTGTGCCCAGACACGGCCCGGTCCGTCACAGATGTTTACCACCTGCACTGGAAACCAACTCAAACAACAAGCTTCTTAAACCAACATTTTAGCAAAAGTCTACCAAGTCTCCACTATTCATGCGCCCAACCTAGCGGAAACCCTGCCTGCGAACCGTAACATTTGTCACACCTGGCCTGCGCGAATGCCAGCCTGTGTGTCGGCAAAACCCATGTGCCCCTGTGGGTTTCGTGTGTGCACACTATAAGCACTGGGAGAGGGGGTGTAAATGTTCAAGGGTGTGCGTTGCAATGCGCAAGGACACACGTATAGGACAAGGACTGAACATTCCCTTGAGAGAAATTAAGAAAATAATTAGTTTGGTTTCATTTCGTAACGAGCTCTGGATTTTGTGGGTTTTCCCCTCCAATCTACTTTGTGAAATAGGGAGGAAAAATAGTGAGGCGAAAGAGGTAGATTGTTGTCGGTTTGCTGCGCACTGAAAGTCATAGCGAAACCTTTCCCATACAACAGAGCGCTACGGAGTTGCCCCTGCCCAGGCTCTGCATGGACGTCTGATACGGGGCGGGGAGAAGAAGCCCAACGCTACGTCTCAGAAGCGATGGTGCAATTTCTGACATCATTTGCGCGCCGAGGTGTAACACTTCAAAGGCTCCCAGGGTGCCCTTTTCATAGGGACCTAGGCCCCTTAGTCCCAAGCCCACTGGACTGTGGTGGAGGTTTGGGAGCTCCCATCGCTGCAATTCCAAGGAGCTGACCTGAATGGCTGGAGGCAGCTCGAAGGCTAGCGAGCTCATTCACCCACACATACAGAAAGGCTGGGGTTCAGTCGCCCCTCCCATCCATAGGGCCCCCCCGCAGCACCACGCCCCCTATGGGAGCGGCTTGGAACACCACGACGCTGGCAGACCCACCCCAGTGCTGGCCAGCCAGGGCCCTCGTTAGCCTGCCAGACGAGCGGGGAGAGAAGACTTGCAGAAGACACTAAATGGTCCACGTGGAATCACCGGGGAGATGGGGACGTTTCCTCCCCGCTGTGTGGATCAGGAAGCACTGGGACACGGGTCCCACAGGGAGCTTGGCAGAGGGGAGGTTTGAGGACCTCGGAGGCTGAACGCCTTCCTCTGCAGAGGCAGGGCAGCAACAGGAGCAGCCCTGTCCCTGCGCCCCCTTGTCACGTCCAGCCCCTTCCCCACTGCACACCCCCAGCAAGGCCAGGCCTGCCCTCCCCACGGGAACAGCGCAGCCCTGCCTGCCCCCTCGGCCTCCGGACCAGCGCCCAGAGAGCAGCACAGCCCGGCGGGAGGGGGCAGTGAGAAGGAGAGTCATATGCAA